CCTTATTGAACTTTTTCGTTCAGAAATTTCAGACTGTTTATAAGCCAAACCAACAACTGTCTTTGGACAAATCTGTGATTCCTTGGAGGGGAAGGCTTCATATGCGAACATATAATCCTGGGAAACTTACAAGTATGGCCTACTTGTTCCTGTAGTTACTGAAAGCACTTCAGGCTATATTGGAAATTTAGAAATTTATTCTGGTGAAGGAAAGAAATTACAAGAAACTATTCTTTCCATTTTGGAACCCTATCTTGATCAGAATTACCATGTACAGGGTGTCCCAGGAGGAATGGACCAAACTTCGGGAGGGTGTTCCTTATGTTAAAGTATGCCGATATAACCCAAAACACCTATGTCCAAAGTTGAACGGTTACGGAGATAATGGCCAGAGAAAAGTGTGGTCTTCTTGCAGGTCCACACATTATAGCTGTCAGCTGTGACTGTTATCTGTTTGTCCTTGAGTGTGGTGATGTCATGCTAGCCATAATCTCATGCTCTACTCACAGAGGATAGAGGATTACAGTGTATCTTGCGTCAGCGTCGTGAATGGCTAGTAATTACGTGTACTTGTGCGGTGTTGCTGAAATGCCTTTTGTGTTTTCACACGTTGAGTATTGTGATATGCATTTTGTGTATGGATTTTGCGGTGGCAATGCACGTGCTGCTGTTGAAGAGTACCAAAGACGTTTTCCCGATCGAAGGATTCCATCTCGACGTGTATTTACGCGAATTCACCAGACATTGCGTGAGACTGGTTCTCTTCCGAGTGTTTCTGTGCAGTCGGAAAGGGAGGATGTACAAATGAGAAACACACGAGAGAATATTCTTGGCATGACTGATAGAAGTCCGCGTCTGTCCACACATAGAATGGCCTCTCGCATCGGCGTATCACGTATGCAGGTGTGGCGAACCTTATATGATGAAGACCTGTATCCTTATCATGATCAAAGGGTACAACATCTGGAACCAGGCGACCATGCTCAGCGTATGGATTTCTGCCACTGGATAAAAGCTCATCCCGAACTGTTAAGCGTCATTTTATTCAGTGATGAGGCGTCGTTTACCCGGGACGGTGTAAATAATTTACGAAATATTCATACATGGTCCCATAATAATCCACATGAGATAATGGAAACGAAATTCCAAAAGAGATTTTCCGTGAATGTACGTTTACAGTTATGTGGTCGGCTTATAGCACAGCCATATTACGTCATCACTTGCCAGTCACGTGTCATGTATAGTGCTTGGAAACCCTAAGGACAATTATGACATGGCGAGCGAGTATTTCGTACTTCAATTTTATGGCTTCACGTCACTCACAA